GGGGGGGGGGGGGGGGGGGGGGGGGGGCACGTATTGGGTGTTAGCTGTGACCCTCGTGGGAAACTCATGTTCTCAGAAAAGCTGTGTGTCGTTGAGCATCGTGTGCGTCTAGTTGACCCCATTCTCTCGACATTTTCTCGTAAGCTTGTTGATCCCTCCCGGCTTTGTTTGTTGATCCCCCGCCCTGGCTGAACCCACTGAGTTGGGGCGTACCCTCGATCCCCTTTTATGCCGCCCTCACTGTTGCGCCGCACTTCACTTCAACGCACAACGGTTTCCCCCTGCCCTTCCACCGCTGTGTCAGATAGACTTTGATGTTAATCGTTTCTTCCCGCATATGGCATACCTTTTTCTGCATGGCCCCCCTCACCTTGTAGTCTCTTAGCACAAACAAGAACGTGCAGATTGTATGTACACATAAGTCTTGTGACAAACAACACCGACGAACTTATGGCAGGTGACGGCGATGGACTGCTGGAACCAGGCGCTGCAGAAGGCGGCCCAGCTAGCGCGAAGGAACGGCGTCTCAGAAAGGTGCCGGCCGTGGTAGGACGGGACGGACTTCCGTGTACAATGCGTGAAGGGGTTATGCCTGCCTTACGGCGTAGAGGTTCCCCGGCTGGCTTAGGGCCTAAGGGGTTGGTTTTTAGGACGTAAGGGCTTTCCTGGCTGGCAGGCTAAGGGCTTGGGGGCTATCTTGATACGGAGGTTCCCCGGCCTGCTTTAAGGGTTCCGTGGTGACCTTGTTGCACTTCCGACCCACCTTCCCAAGGCGTTTTTCTTGAACGATTTGACGCGCGTGCAGTGTTCGTGTTGTCTCGGGCTGTCAGGAGGGCAACGCTAAGCACTAATTCTACTGGGGCGTATGTTTTCACGGGGGTTCGCGAAGGCCAGGGTCACTATTTACCCGACGGGGGTGGACCCAACGCCATTCGACACGAAGCGTTCTCGGCTGACTTGTCGCGCGACACTATCCTGCTGGTGAAGCACTCCGTGAAAGGCTTCGCCCCGCCGAGTCTACCGTTCTGCGCCCGGCCAGCCGGCTCCCCACACTCAACCAGCCCGTGATGTACTTGTCTGGGCTCGACTTCTCTGTCTCTCTCCCCCCCGCTGCCTCCCAAACGCCTTCGCTATCTATCCACACCCAACCGGACCGTATTGAGGTGGCTAAACTAAGCTTCCATCTCTCCCCCGCCTCCCAAACGTTTACCGTGCGGCGCGATTGGGGAGAGAAGGGTCGAAGTTTTGCGAGGGAAGGTGAAGCACACGGGCGAGATACATGTGTCGGTGCGGGCCGAGGAAGCTCGCGATACGGCGGCGGCGGCGGCGGCGGCGAAGGAGGAGGCGGTTGATGGCGGGGGCGGGGGCGGGGACGGGGGCGGGGACGGGGACGGAGCGGCGGGTGGTGCAGGTTCGGAGGGAGGTGAGGACGACCACGAAAATGATGACGGTCTGATGCAGCATGTGTGGTGTGGTTGGTGACGCTTGGCTTCCAAAGCGTTGGGTCTTATCTGTTCGTTTTGAAGGGTCTCTTGAACACCCCCCGGCAGACACCTTACCTGGGTAGAGGGTAGCTAGTGTTTTTTTAGCAAGTGCTTTTCGGGGAGTTTCGTTTTTGGTGGGCAAAGGGGGAGCGGGGAAGAGAACGTTCGCGTGCTGACGACTATCCCTGGCCGGTATGCTGATCGTTCATCTCAGTGTGTCCCAAAGGTTTTTTGTTCCTTTGAGGTCAGGGTTGCGGCGGCTAGGGTCGATTCCCCTCATAGTCCGAAGAAATGTGTGCTGCTTTCTGTAAGTCCAGTGACCTTTAGTGTGTTCGGTGCGCTACCGGCACGGGTGGATTTGAGGATTGACTTATTCTAGTGGGGCAGTGGTGTTGGCCGAAGTGCGGATAACGCAATCCTCTGAAGTAGTGGCCGTGTGTGCAGCGTGTTTTCCCCCGGCATCTGGTGCTGCCCCTTTTGTAAGGACAACCCTTGATATTCTGCCATCGATCGGACCCGTGATGTATGCCCCCCCCCCCCCCCCCCCCCCCCCCCCCCCCCCCCCCCCCCCCCCCCCCCCCCCCCCCCCCCCCC